CACAAAATCGTGCTCACACCTAATCACAGCCACCCACAATTGTGCATTGGGAGAGTATCTTCCCATCCCATGAATAAAAATATATCAACATGGAGATATTCCCAATACACGGGTGCAAGTGGTTGTGAGGACAGTGTACACCATTAGGTGAGGACTGAATCCAAGTTCCAAAGAGCCATGCTATGATTGCCAATTGGAGGCTAGAGCATCAGTGCAGCCAGTACAGATCGCCAAAACCAACAATTTTGCAATTTGCAAAGAATTGGATTCTGGTCGCTTTAGTAGATGGTAAATGTTTAGCCATTGCTTTAGGTTACTAGTCAAACCAAGAGTCCTAGGTCCATTATAAGAAATGTGTATATTTTAATGATATATATTAAAAAACAATATAATTAATATAGGAGGATGTATAGATATCACATAATTTCATAAATAATACATCAATCAAGAATCTAAAATGCAAAATATATGCATTCATATACATGCAGGACCCCAATCCAACCCAAGATACACCCTCAAAGAGGTGTACCTTTGTATGATTTATCAATACTAATGTAGTGACATATGCTATGCAGCATTATTAAGGGGTAAAAACATAAGTTGACATTGATAATCAATTTTAACTTTTATGACATTTATCATAAAAATTTCTTTTATGACCTACACTAAAATCAAGGCAAGCATCTGCTATATAATAATACTATTTGAGACTTGTGCAACACATGGGTTTTGTTAAATGAAATTGAAGCCGAAGGTGCCCATGAAATTAAAGTAAAAGTACAGAGATGAACATGGGTCAAAGCGATCCTAATACTCCTAATTGATGGTGGCTCAATTAATATAAGCATACTCCATTAATGAACCAAAAATAAAATAAAAGATCTTGGGTTTGGGTTTTAATAGTCCATTAACAATTTTTAACGTTGCACGTGCCGAACCCGACCTACACCGCAAGCCTAGTAATATATGTTTTGGCTTGGGATAGGGACAAGATTGCCCATGTCAAATTATAAAACTAAAATTTTTATAAATTATTTTTTTTTAGTTTTAATAAAAAATTGTTATCTACATATTAATATATTATACCATGTATCTATATAAAATTTATTATCTAAATACTATATATAATATTTACGATATATGCATTTAACTTCTAGGTCAAGCTTATGAGTTATGGGCCCAACCCACATTATGTGTAGTGGACTTAATGTGAATCTAAGCTGAGCCGAAACTGGTAGAAAATAGTTGACTAAACCTTAGAATTTGTGGGCTTGATCTGAGCCCAAGCCAATGTTGATCTGAAATGATCATTCGTAAATAAAGTGTGTCATTCAATTCTAAAGAAAAACAAAAAGTAAAAAAAAAAAAAAAGTATTCAATGAAGTTTAAGCAATTTGATGGAGTAATTGGGAGGAGAGAGAATTAATGGAATGAGTTATTGGAGAAGAGAGAGTTAATGGTAAGTTAATGAAGAAAGATAAAAATCTTAAAGATTATTGGCTACTTAAGTTATTTTTTAAAAATGACAAAATAGATAATGGGTGAGGGAAAAAGGAAATGTCTTTCACATAGCAGGATCAGTTTTAATATAATGGTATAAATAGAATTTTCCCGCTCCCCAATGTTTCTTTCATCCAATCATATCATGAAGCAAACTAAGCGGCTGATTGGTTAGCACATAATGTCTTTTCTGGTGGTATTGTTGTTGCTGATTTTCTTCCTTGGGATCTTAGGTATATGTGCTTTTGTGATTTTGTGGGGACATGCTATCATAGCACCTTTTGGCTTACCAGAAAAAGATATAAATAGATTTTATAATAAAGAGGCATAAGGAAAGGATTGAATGTTTACCAAATGAACAATGGTGTGCCAAACAAATAGAGCCCTTTATAGATGACTCCTACACTATCAAATACTAAATTTTGTTTCTCACTAAACTTGAATCATGCAAATCCAAGTTAAATAGTGAAATAGATCTATTCACTAAGGTGATGTCTAGAAGCAACCCCCCCCGCCCCCTTGTGGGGGTTTATTTTGTTGTGAATGTTAACTAAAGCATCAATCTGTTAAGCCAGTGTTTGGAACCAATGTTGTTTTTTCTTGAGAAACAATGCCAGCCATATATAGGAATGGAAATTTTCCCCATCCCTGACAAGGACCCAACCCGATGGGGTCGGGGATGGGGATTGTTTTGGCAGGGCAGGGACATGAACGGGGATTAATAGGAATCCCCGATCGATGTCGGGGTCGGGGATGGTGGTTGAGCTCCCCACCCTGCCCTGACCCTGATTATTTATAATTTAAAATTTTTATATATTGTAAGTAAATTTATTTTTCGAAAAAATACTATTATCAAAAAAAATCAGGGATTTGGGTCCCATCGGGGATCGGGGATCGGGGATGGAGGACAAATTTTATCCCCGACAGGGATCGGAGACAGGGATGGGATTAATTTTAGAATCGGGGTCGGGGAATATGATCCCCGCCCCATTTCCATTCCTAATCAATAGCATTTTTGCAGACCATGCTAGCTGTTTGGTTATATGTTTTTCTAAAAATGTTTTATTAGACCACACCTTGGAAATTGAGAAAGGTTAGTATGAGAAAATGTCATTTTTGGCTAGTGCTTGAAACTGATGTTGTTTTTTTGAAAAATGGTGTCACAACAGCACCATGTCTCATATCCATTTTTCATATCAGTATGAAATTCTCGATTAGTACCATGTGCTTTGGGCCAGTGCCATTTTGGTCCCCAAACTTTAAAGAATGACAATTCAGTACCCAAACTATCAAAACATGTCAATCCAACACCTGTCATTAACTAACCGTTAACCAGCCGTTAAGTGGTATTTGAAAAGACAAAAATGTCATTTGAGTGTCATCTAATTTTTCTTTATCAACCATCCAAACATTGACAAAAATGAACAGTCCCAAATCCTTGCTTCTATTCAAGAAAATTGGGGTCACATCTTAGTGGACATTCTAGTGACCCCAATTTTCTTGAATAGAAAGGGGCAAGAATTTAGGACTGTTGATAGTAACATCCTTTTTGTTGTGTCCTCCCTTTTTTTAATAGTATCCTGATGTGGCATTGAAAAATGCCTATGTGGCAGAAACCACCAACAGTTGCAAATAAAAAAAAAGAAATGTTTTCATGGCTTGGTATTTGCTCGTTTTTTTACTGTTGATAGCATCAGTATGCTGATGTGGCATTTAAAACGTCTATGTGGCGGCAATTGGCAACAATCCCAAACAAAAAAGAAAAAAAATATATTTTATGAAAATAAACGATATACCAATATAGCACCATATTCTAAAAAATACCTATTGGTTTTAAATATGGCTTAAATCATCATACTTAGAAATTCAGATCCGCTTCTAAAGTTGTCATATTTAGAAATGGAGGGATGCAACTTGCAAGAGGGGATGATAAGTTTCTTTTTCTTTTTATTTCCGATAGAAGACAGAAGCAGGGCCAGTGGAACATCAAGAATAGTAAACCAAATGCCAAAGGCAGGCGCATGAATTGCCTTTAACTCGCAGGGATTGTTGGCCAGTCCAATAAATTATATTTCTATCTCCGGATGATCCATCAATTGATGGGCCCGTATTTTCATAAACCGACCAAATCCTCCTCACCTACCTCGTCACCTCTGGAGCTCGTTTTATGCCGAGTCCCGACGATCCGGCTCTCACAAAAGGATTGAATGGATGTAATAGAGAAGCAGTCTCGGGGGAACGTCCTTTTCTTTCTGGTAGATAGATAGTAAGAACCATTACCAATTTAATAGAGCACAACAATAACGAACCAAATACCACACAGCCATGTTTGTGCATGAATTGCCTTTAAACTGGTGGGAATTGCTTGCCACACCCTTCTATTGACCTATACTAAGATGACCAATCCATTGCCAAACACGATGGCTGCATTTAGTTATTGAAGTTGGGGAAATTGTCCTTAGGGCCCGTTCATTTTTGAGATTTTGAGGGGGGAAAATATTGGTTAATGAGATTTAGTTCCCTATGTCCTTTTTTTAAGATTTATGTTTAGTTCATCGAAAATTTTATTTTTCCTAAATACCACTTACTTGGATAACTGATATCCATTCCCATAAGTACTCAGGTTACAAAGGTTACAAAGTAGAAAAATTACAACAAGTGTGTCTCCCTACCAAATTAGTCCAAATCAACTACGCAAAACCCTCAATGGGTATAGAGAAAACAAGAACCATGGTGGCATAATTGAAAATGTAAAAGCAGGAAAAGCCCAAGATCGCCTCCTGTTACAAAACTCTCCCTAATGCTCCACCTTTCAAACATTCAAAGAATGGGCCCCATAGAAAGCCAAAAGTGCACAAAAGAAGTAACTTGTAACTGTAACTTGTAGGGATGTAAAATGTGCAACAAAACCACCATCCATGTCGTTATAAAAGCTAAAACATTTTGAGCTTGAATGTCGCCAGAGAGAACTGCAACCGATGCAAATTTAAGAAACGCCAAAAAGGTCAACTAAATGCCTCCAACAGAGATGAAGCCAGCAAGTGTGTCTCCCTACTAAATGAGTCCGGATCAACTACACAAAACCCTCAAAGGGTATAGAGAATGCAAGTATCATGGCACCCAATCCATGGCATAATTGAAAACATAAAAGCGAGAGAGGCCCAAGATCACCTCCTATTACAAAACTCTCCCTAACGCTCCACCTTCAAAACATTCAACGAATGGACCCCATAGAAAGTCAAAAGTGCACAACAGTTATAACTTGTAACGGTAAGGACGTAAAATGTGCAAAAAAACTACCCATCCATGTTGTTATAGAAGCCGAAACATTTGGAGCTTGATCGTTGCCAAAGAGAATTCGAAGATTGCCGGAAAAAGGTTTGCCAGGAACGATAACATCGTTACAAAATAAATGGGTACCCATGGCAAACCCCAAAGGCACACCACACACAAATTCGACCAAGGCCCAACAGAAATAAGAAAAAGAGCAGAGGAAAAACGAAGATTAAAAGCACTTACCCAGGTAAGTATTTATTATGAAATAAGTCTATTTACCTTACCCAAAGGAACCTTAATGAAATCCTTCAAGGACTTCCTCACATCCCAATTTCCATAATGTTCTCAATCTCAGAAACCAATCCTGTGTTAGAATACATATGCCAAGTTCTGCCTGCATTTCACATACCAAAAACAAAAAGATAAAACCAAACCAACCAGACTAAACCTTCAATCCTTTGTTTTTTGGCTCCTCTTCCAACATCACAGAGGAACCATCATCTATGTTGGAGGTTCTTCTCTGAGCTCTCTGAAAAGTGGAAACAAGACGACATGACTCAGCAATGGGGGCTGGTTTGTATGTAGGCCTTGGGATTTTATGCAAAGAAATAATCAGTTAATAGGACAATGTATGTACTTCTTACCTAAATTTCTGGATTGGTTGAAAATTCAACCAGAAATACATAGCTAGAGAGATACAAAGAGAGCCAAATAGTTTGAAGTTGAAAACGGAGAAGGCCATTTGTGTCACCATTTTTACTCGGATGGAGGTATTACTCAGTCCATCCTCTTTATCTCGATCTAATCCTTTCTCCTCTTCTTCGCAGGTCAGGCTTCAGCGCCAGCCATTGGATGGATTCTCCTCCTCCATCCTTCTTCAAATTCAGTGCAGAAATTGTCAAAGTTCGATCATAAAATAAAAGCTACTAAGCAATTAAGCTACTTCATATTTTACATAGAGCTATGCCCGGTGGGATTATTTCAAAATGCTCCTCCAACCTACACCTCTGCCAATTTCATGGAAATACAAACCTGAGGTCAGAGTAGTTGAATCATTTATCGGCAACTTTGGAAGAAAGAGCAATCCTGAGCTGCTCCTGAGTGTAAACTCGACTTGACATCTTAACGGTGGCCTGTTGGATCATCAAATCCTTCACCACCGACACACTCGCATAGTGTACATCCAGGTCGAGGTCCTTAAGAGCAGACATCAGCCTTGCTGCTGGATGGTTCTTCTTGTTGCATTGGATGCGAACCATTGCCTCCCACCCAAGAATCTTCACATCAATTTCCATCTCCAATGCCTTGTTTCCTTGCTGGCTCGAAATTTTCCCATCTCTATCTTTATCAGGTTGGGGAGAAGGTCCCGGATATATCCGGGATGTAAGGTCCTTTTTCAGACAATCTACTTGGGTCTGCAGTGCCTCCTTATCAGATTCAGCTGCTTGCAGCTTCGCTCTAAGCTCATTGATGTAGGAAATTGCATCGCCAAGGAGGGAAGCTTTGTCCATCTTGGAAACATTTGGTACCACAGCTCGAAGAGAGTAGAACCTTTGATTCAGCTTCTCCCGCCTCTGTCGCTCTGCTTCCACATGGTTCAGAGGCTCTTCTCGGCCATTTGCGGGTTTCCTCCCCCTCTTCCGAGGCTTCTTTTCTGGCTCTCCTACTCTACTGCTCTCAACCTCTCGAACCGAAGCTTCAAGATCGGATTGATCGGAGTCTAAATTTTCACCGCTGGATTTCATCACGCAGGCGGAAGGAACGACTGCACCAGACGTGAAGGATAGCATTCCTTCCTCTCCCCTTGATGAGGCAGAACACTTCTTCTTCTTGTCATCTGCCACAAATTGTTGTGAATGATTCGAGAACAGAGCCCCATTTGCACTGCTCATGTTTCCCCTGCTCCCCCCAAAATTCATAAGTTCACCGGATTCGGGCTTACAGGATTGAGTAACTCCTTTCTTTGTAGTGCTTCCTTCTAACCCGAAGTCAGAGAAATTTATCTCTCTAGTGAAGAAACCCTGTGTCTGCTGCTGTTGATGGTGGCTTTGGTGCTTGGTTTGGAGTGAAATCGTGCTAGGGTTTTCGGTTAGATTACTTGTGCTTTGATTCTCGATCTGAATTGGCTTCGAAATCTCCTGATTAGGAGGAGCAACAGCTGAAGCAGCTGGAGCTGCATTCACAGACTCCTTAATGTCGAGCATCGACGGATCCGAGATCCAGAGCGACGACGGATCGTTCTCGCCCTGATCCGTCTGCGTCGTCGACCAAGGACCACTCTCAGGATTATTGAAATTAAATAAAACCTTAACCTTATTCATCAGATCCGAGCTCTGGAATATCAACTCCGTCGAGCCCAATTCAAGGACACCGTTGGCCGATGGTATACACACCATAGTCTGCAAACCGAAAATCTGTCCTTGTCTCGCCCGCTCGCAGGACGAGCTTGCAAGCCTCTCACTTCCGGCAAGCCACAGGGGAGACGAAGCAAAGAAGGCTTGACCGGGAAGCCCGGCACCGTTGATAAACGACTGCGTCATCGACACAAGAAAGAACCATTCGGTATCGGTAACCTCTTCATCCACCGTATCGTCGGCAGAAGGCGGGGCACCGGAAATCAAAGAATTGAGCTCCCTGAGTACCTTTTTCCGGTGCTCCTGCTCCGCCGGAGAAACCGTCACCTTCCTCTTCATCTTATCCTCTTCACCCTTGTAGTACCCATCGCCCCATCCGAGCAGAGAAGCACCAGAAATGTCAACAGATGATTGCCAGAATATCGCGTACGTCCAGCTCTCACGAGCACCTTCGATTAGGGTTTGAAGCCGCTGCTGCAGCGTCTCTTGATTGAAGAACATCGACGGTTGAGATTGGTGCGTGGCTCTCGAAGGGTCAGTTGCAGTAGTAGTCGTGGAAGCAGACGCCGAAGGCGCCCACGAAAACTGAGAGAGATCAGAAGCCATAAATGCTTCCATCATCGACGCGTTGTCGTCCGTCCATAGATTCATCGTCGGTAACCGGTAATCCGTCATTCCACAAACCGAAAAACAATATTGCTTCGAGCTTCCTAAACTTTCTCCTTTTCCCACCTCTCTCTATCTCTATAACTAGTCAGCGGTTAAGGAGTAACGGAAGTGAAAGGAGGTGGTGAGAGATAACATTTGCGCCATATCGGAAAACCGCATTTCAAAATTTTTGGTGGTATTCCGGGGAGAAGGGATTGAATGGGGAAGGAAAACATGCTTGACTGGCTTGGCTTTGGCTACTCAAGCGGGGAGGAGAGAGGGGGCGGGCGCTGGGCTAAAGGGATGGAGATGGATGTGGAAGGTGGGAGTCGAGAGTCGGGAGTCGGGAGGGAGAAGCGACTACTCGATATGTCGGCGAGGACTTTTGTAGAATTTGGATTCGGGATGAATTTTTAGGACATCTGAACTGAATTTTAATACTGGGGATGTTAAATAGTAATATCTTTAGGTCACACTTGAGAGTGATAAAAAAACCATCGGTTTCTTCGAAGCATCGCCGATTAAATCGGAACTCGGAATGAAACCGGAGTACCCAACCAGCCACGTGGGGTTCGTTATTATCTTTTTACTCTTTTTCGGGAATTTATTACCATTTTATTTCATCTCGCATATAGAGATGGAAAAGCTATTGTGTTTCTTTACGTACGAGAGTTAAGCTAGGGTGTGGCTACTCGATGACGCAGGCTTGTTTTTTATGAAGATCGGACGGTTGACATTATTTTTTGTTTTTCCATAGAGGACAGTAACTTGGAAGTGAAGCAGAGCAAAATACGTAGAGAAAGAGAAAGAGTTTCAATGAGATGAACTCGTTGATTGATGAATCAATTTGCCTTTCGGACTTAAAAAAAAAGGGGGTAATAGCATATAAGAGCAACTTTTGGGGTTTAATATCAATTAAAGTAATATTTAAAAAAAAATTAAAAATACGTTAATTTTTAAAAATAATATGAATAAAGGGCAAAAACAATATCATCTTCTTCTTGCCATTTGTTCATCAACACCCCGGCGTGCCACCGTTCTTTGTTGCCCACCGCCGCCGCCTCCAGCAATGTTGTCGGAGGTGGCCGGAGGCAAAGGAGGCGACGGCGCGCTGGTGGTCATTCTTCTACCTAGCGCCGCCACCGCCACCTCTGTCTCCACCCACCTCCAGCAACGTTGTCGAAGGCGAAGGTGGAGGTGGTGGCATTGGGTAGAGCAATGATCACCAGCGCTACCGCCGCTACCTCTGCCTCCGATCACCTCTAGCAATGTTGTCAAAAGCGGTCGACGATTGCGGGTAGTGGCAAGTAGCAGCGGACGGCGGTGGCGGGTGATGGCAAGCAGCGGCTGATGGCGATGCTGGTGAACAAATGGCAAGAAGAAGATGATGAACAGTGTTTTTGCCCTTTATTGATATTATTTTTAAAAAGTTAACCTATTTTTGAAATTTTTTTAAAAATATTACCTTTATTGATATTGATGAAGCACGATTTGGATGCTCCTAGCTGGAGGATGATCTGGAACTTGGCTACGGGGCGAGCTGGTTTGGTCTACAAAACAGTGAAGCTCAAAGAATCCGGGGTGGCTAACCTGACGAGGTCGCTCCGATACTTAAGTTAGTATTGCGAGCTGAAAAGTTGAATGATAAGTGTACTAGTGAGCAAATAATCACGCGTACCTCCTCGTGTCATTGGGGCTGGTGCCTTTATATAGGCTTTGTTTGGCGTGGGCTTCACACACCGCATCCGAGATTTCTAGGAGGTCACCTAACCGGTTCGAGATCCGCGGAGGTAACCGCCATGCACGTTGACCATCCTTCGGAATACTCGATACGTGGGCCAACTTTCGAGAGACTTGGGAGTGTTGGGATATGCATACCGAATTTGTCGGCGAGCACAACTCGCAGGTCGCCTCCTAGACGTCGGTTAGATTGGTAAGCCCTCGAGGGAGGTCGCTCCTTGCGACGAGGTCACATCGGCCAGTGACGAGGTGCTAAAGGTTAGCCCTAGACGAGGTGCTCCTAGCCGACCTAAGTTGTGCTCGAAGTCACTAGGTCGAAGTGAAGATGAACCGCGGTCTAGGACTCCAAATCATCGCTTAGGTGGTGCCCATGTGTCGTCTAGCTGTTCCAAAATGTCATGTGTCATGATGTGACTGGAGGGCCAAATCTGCCCTCATCAATTGCCCCCCACTCCCAAGCTGAGGGCAGCTCGGCGAAGGGATTAGATCGTTCCTTTTGGCCCGAAATGACAGTTTGATGAGCTTGTAGTCGTAAGCGTCAGTCCAATTTGCTTCTTAGGTTGGAAGAGTTCGAGCGTTTGCAGCCTTATGCATGACCTATCGTCTTGATTTTCGGGGCACGAGAGCGAATTCATCTGCTCAAGGAGAGGTGGAGCAGGTACCCCAAAGACATCTACCTTATTAGGGATGTGACCATCAAGGAGTTCTGCAATCCGGTTAAGTACCTCAAGAGCAAAGCTCATCATGCCATCCTCAAGAAGGGGTTCTAATTGTGTGATTGCTTTATTAGGTCGCTCCACCTAGGTAGACTTCAACACAGTGTCACTCGAACTAGTTTTCAAAAGAGTAGCCAGTGAGTTCGACGCAGAGCCTGAAACCGAAGTGAAGAGATCGACCAAGTTTGCATCCGTCATGGTGCTGAGAGCGAAGTAGTATTTCCTTTGTTTTCTTTCTCATGTTGAATGCGAACTACTTTTTATTTCGCCCATGCAAAAGAGGCGACTGGGTCTTATGTGGTGTCGAGGTCTTTTATCAACTTGGCACCCTAGTCCTTAGGCTCTGGGAGTGACTCACAGTCCACTCTCCTTATCCTTGATTTTGCCCATGCTGAAGAGGCAACTGGGTCTCATGTGGTCCCGAGGTCTTTTATCAACTCGACACCTTAGCCCTTAGGCTCTGGCACAGACTCACGGTCCACTCTCCTTATCCTTGATTTTGCCCATGTCGAAGAGGCAATTGGGTCTCATGTGGTGCCAAGGTCTTTTGTCAACTCGGCACCTTAGCCCTTAGGCTCTAGAAGAGACATGCGGTCCACTCTCCTTATCCTTGATTTTTCCCATGCCAAAGAAACAACTAGGTCTCATGTGGTGCCAAGGTCTTTTATCAGCTCGGCACTTTAGCCCTTAAGCTCTAGGAGCGATTCGCGGTCCACTCTCCTTAATATTATTTAGTCGATGTGTGGCCTGACCAATTCGCTTAAGCGGGTGGTCATTTTGTTGTACTCTTAGATGTGGCTACTTCTACATCGTCACTTAAGATTGGCTTCCTTGGGAAGGTGCTTGCAAGATCATGACATCCTGCTCCTGGAACCACTGATTGTCTCCTTCTATTGGAGTCATGGGAGGCTCACCCTGAGGAGGCATCTCTGCTGTCTGCGGGTCACCTACTCTCACGGGAACCATAAGGGACTCAACCTATGAGGGCAGTTCCACTTTCAGCTCGCTTCCAACTCTCAGGGGGGGCATAAAAGCTCGATCTGTAGTGAGGCTTCACAATTCAAGCAGGAGGTAGTCCGGGTCAGATCGCTGAGGCTCGCTTGGGCTAGTTATTCGTTTCTATTATGTTTGTAGGTTTTGTCATTACTTTCGACATTAGATGATAAGTTGATGCCACGGTTGCACTGCATCAGCCCTCAGAGACGTTGGTCGTCAACTCCTACGAGAAGCCACAAGGAGCTCGACCTGTGGGAGCAGCTCGACTAGCTGTAGGTTGCCAACTCGCACAGGAGACTTGAAAGGCTCAACCAGCAAGGGCATCCGCACAGTCTATAGGCCGCTAATTCCCGCGAGAGCCACGAAGGGTTCAACCTGTAGGGGAGACCTCGCGAAGAAGGCTAGCGAGGCTCATCCGGACTGAAATGAAGTTGGCAGAGCTGCTTAATCGGTTGGCCATCAACTCCTGCGGGAACCATGGATGGCTCGACCTGTAGGGGTGGCCTTACTCCGAGTTGCTTGTCGCCAGACTACTGGTTATTGGGGTTATTCTGCTGTTGATTGCTCGAATGCACCGAGTTTCTTGATTGTCATGGAGGAGGGTTCTCATGTTCTTGCCCCCCAGTAATTGATTCTTTGTTCTTGATGTTGGTGCTTTTAGAAGGTGAGAACTTAGCTTCTTGTAGCGTTTCCCGCAGACGGCATCAATTGATGAAGCACAATTTGGATGCTCCTAGTTGGAGGATGATCTGGAACTTGGCTGCGTGGCGAGCTGGTTCGGTATGCAAAACAATGAAGCTCAGAGAACCCGAGGTGGCTAACCCGATGAGGTCGCTCCGATGCTTAAGTTAGTATTGCGAGCTGAAAAGTTGAATGATAAGTGTACTAGTGAGCAAGTAATAGCGCGTACCTCCTCATGTCATTGGGGTTGGTGCCTTTATATAGGCTTTGTTTGGCATGGGCTTCACGCACCGCATGTAAGATTTCTGGGAGGTTGCCTAACCGGTTCGAGATCCGCAGAGGTAATCGCCACGCACGTTGACCATCCTCCAGGACACTTGGTACGTGGGCCAACTTTCAAGAGACTTGGGAGTGTTGGGATATGCATACCGAATTTTTCGGCAAGCACAACTCGCAAGTCACCTCCTGGACCTCAGTCAGGTCGGCAAGCCCTTGAGGGAGGTCGCTCCTTGCGTCGAGGTCACATTGGCCAGTGATGAGGTGCTAAAGGTCAGCCCTAGACGAGCTGTGGCCTAAGTTGTTGTCGAAGTCACTAGGTCGAAGTGAAGACAAACCGTGATCTGGGACTCCAAATCATCGCTTAGGTGGTGACCATGTGTCATCCAGATGTTCTAAGATGCCATGTGTCACAATGTGACTGGAGGGCCAAATCTGCCCTCATCAGATATTAAACCCCAAAAGTTGCCCTTATATGCTATTATCCCCCCAAAAAAATCTTGAATTTAAAAAGATATGGGTAAAATACAAAAACCTCCCCTAATGTTTCTAACAATCATAAAAACCTCCCCTCGAGTATCACTTTAACAAAAACATCCCCTGAACTTTTGAAAAACTCAACATAAACCTCCCCTTCGTCAATATCCCAGACGGAAAAAGTTTGTTTGATACATTAATTTTCATAAATGCCCATTTTACCCTTTTTGTATATGATGTCACATAAAATGAAGTAAACTTTAAATTGAGTAACCCATTTGCCGCTCTTTTTTCTCCCTCAAACACCATCCATTTCAAACTCATGGGCTTCGATGCTTCTTTTGGTGTAAAATAGGTAAAATCATGGCATTCGGTACTTCTTTTATAAATGATCTCTAATCGCTGGCTGAGTGCTAGGTCAAACTAACAACCAAGTGAAGAACCTTTAGAACACGCATTTGAACAAGAAGCTTGGGATAAGAAAGTAAAATGGCAAACTCGGTGTCTCTTCATCACTAACAAGCTTGAAAAGATGCAATGAAATAGAGGAAGTTCTCAATCTC